GAAGAGTTTGAGGAGTGTTGGCATTAAGTCTCCTTTGAAGTTCTTGTAGAATTCCACAGTGACTCTGTCTGGACTTACGCTTTTCTTTGTTGGTAAGGATTTAATTATATCGTCATTTTCATTAATTGAAATGGGGTTATTCAGCAGTTTTAAATCTTCTTGACCCAGTTTTGGTAATTCATGTTTCTAGGAATCTGTCCATTTCTTCTGTGTTATCAAGCCTATTAGAACAGAGGTTTTCAAAATAGGTATTGATGATCTTCTGTATTTCTACAGGGTCTGTAGTGATTTTACTCTTTTCATTCCTTATTGCATGAATTTGATCTTTTTCTTTTCTTTTTAAAATAAGATTGGACAGAGGCTTCTTAATTTTATTCATTCTTTCAAAGAACCAACTCGTTGATTCATTCATTCTTTTTCTGTTTTCTTAGTCTCTGTTGCATTGATTTCTGCCCCGACCTTTATAATTTCCTCCTTTCTTGTGGCTTTCGGCTTGACTTGCTCTTCTTTTTCTAGATGTTTGAGGTTGTTTATTTATGTTCATTCTGTTTTCCTGATGTGGGAGTTCACTGCAATAAATTTTCCTCTGGGGAGTACTTTCACTGCGACCACAAGTTCCAGTAAGATGCTTTTGTATTTTTGTTTTCCTGTAGATATTGTTTAATTTCTTCTTCAATTTCCTCTGTGACCACTGATTGTTCAGGATTGTAATATTCAATTTCCATGTGTTTGTGGATTTTTTGTAGTTTCTATTGTCATTAATTTCTAGTTTCATGGTGCTATGATCCTGTAATATGCATGGGATAATTTCAATTCATTTGCATTTACTTAAGCATGTTCTGTGGGCTAGTATATGGTCTTTTTTAGAGAACATTACATGTGCCGCTGACGAGAATGTATATTCTGATGTTGTTGGGTGGAACACTCTGTATACGTCTATCAGGTCCATTTGTTCACAAGTGTGATTCAGTTCTGTTGTTTCTTTGCAGATTTTCTGTCTAGTTGATCAGTCCCTCTGTGCCAATGGTATGTTAAGCTTTTCTGTTAGAATTGTATTGTTGCTAATTTGATTTTTCATTTCTGTTAATATTTGTTTTGTATAGCTAGGTGCTCCCAAATTTGGTGCATATATATTTAAGATTGTTATGTCTTCCTCTTGAAGTTTTCCCCTGACTAGTATGTAGTAGCTTTCTTTATCTCTTTGGATCATTCTTGGTTTGAAGTTTACATTGTCTGCAAACAGAATATCTGCCCCTGATTTTTTGTGGGATCCTGTTACATGAAGTATTATTTTCCATTCTTTGACTTTCAGTCTATGTGTTTCTTCTTGGATTAGTGGGTTTCCTGCACATAGCATTGTTAGATGTTGTTTCTAGATACATTATGTCAGTCTGTTTCTTTTAATTGGTAAATTGAAGCCATTTCCATTAATGTTTATAATTGATATATATATATATATATATATGTTCATATCTGACATGTTATCTGCTATTGATTTTTTGCCTTTCCACTCTGTTTAATTGTTTGCCTCGCTTAGTGGTTTTTTCCTATGTCTGTCAAGAATGTCTTTCAAGTATTCTTTATAGGGTTGTTTTGTTGTCATGAAGTTCTTCAGCTGTTCTTTTTCACGGAAGTATCTTATTTCTCCATCCATTTTGAAGGACAGCTTTTCAGGGTACATCAGTCTGGGTTGGAAGTCAATTTTCTTTTAGGATCTGATATACTTCATTCCATGCTCTTCTTGACTTCAATGTTTGTGTTGTGAAGTCTGCTGTGATTTTGATACACTTTCCACTATAGATGATCTAGCTCTTCTCTCTAGCAGTTTATAAAATTCTGTTCTTATGTTGCATTTCTGGGATGTTGATTATTATATGTCTGGGTGTAGTTTTTTGCTTATGGTTATTTGGAGTTCTGTATGCCTCCCTGATCTGCAGGTCAGTTTCCACTTCTCATGTTTTGGAAATTGTCCACTATTATCTCTGTAAATAGCCTCTTGGAATCATTTGTACTGTCACCTTCCTTTTCATTCATATCTATCAATCTTATGTTGTTTTTCTTTGCATCATCTTGCAGTTGTTTAATTGCTCTTTCCTGATTCCTTGTTATTTTTAAAAGATCTTTCCTTTTCTGTTCACTAGTTGCAATCTTGTCTTCTTTGAGGAATAAAATTGTATCTTCATTTTCATTGAGATGGTTTTGCTAATTTTTGATGGAATTTTTGATTTCCTGTATAGCTGTTTGAATCTGTTTCATGCATTGTTTCTTATCTTGCTCATTCAGAGTTTCCATCTTTTTGCATTGTTCCTCTAATTTTTTTTAACTATGTCTTCTTTAGATGTGTTCAGCATTTCTTTCACTACATTTATCATTTCTTCTTTTATCTGGGAGACTATTTCTGATTTGAGGGTTTTTGTTTTTATAGGTTCCCAGAGTTTTTTTCTTTATTTCAATTGTTATCACTTCAGGAACTTCAAGTGCATGGTTTGTATTTTCTTCTGTGCCCATGTCTGCTGGGCTTGCTTGGGTTGAGCTGGAAATTTGAGATTGCATTTTGCTCTCTTATTTTGTCTTTTCCTTATATTTCCAGGTTCACCTGCCCTACTTTTGGTTCATACACAGACTGCAGGCAATTGCTAGTGATTTGGAGTTCAGCAGGCCTGGGTTAGTCAGGCTCCTTGCATCCTCCAGTGATTTGAGTGCAGGTTATGGTCTTACCACCTGGGAGTGAGGTTCCAAGGCTTCCCTGTGCACTGGGATTCAACCTGCACAGATTCAGCATGCTGGCGAGTAAAACCATTTTGATCATTAAGTGTGATGTGTTTAATGTGATGTTGATTGGTTTATGAATATTTATTGAGAACATTTTCACCTATGTTCATTAAAGGTTTTTGTTCGGTTATCTGATTTTGGTATTCCAGTGATACCAGCTTTGTAAAATGTTTAGAGGCTTTCCTTTTCTATGTATGTTATAGAAGACTTTAAGAAGTATTAGGTATTTAAATGTCTTGTTTAATTTTGCAATGAATCATTATATTCTTGGGATTTCTTTTTTTGAGATTTTTCATTACTTCTTTAATCTCATTTATTTTTATTGATATGTTTCACTTTTTTATCCTATTGGATCAAAGTCTGTAGTCCATATTCAACTATAAATTTCAAGATTATTTCTAAATTTTCCAGTTTATCGGCATACAAACTGTACAGATAGCACCTACTGATCCTGTGGATTTCAGTGGTATATTTTAAAAATTCTTTGCTTCTAACTTGACTAATTAAGGTCTTAAGTGTTTTTAATAGTTTGTATAAGGGTTTATTAATTTTTTCTTTGTAAGGAAAAACTTTACTTGGTTTCATTGATGGTTTCACTGTTCTTTCATTTTATATTTCACTAATTTGCCTTTGATGCTTATTATTGTTTCCTCTACTGGGTTTTAATTTGGATTGTTATTGTATCATTGGATTTGTACTTGCAGTTAGTGGATTAAACTTTGTACAGCAGCTTCCTCATTTCAAAAATATGGAAAGTTTCAATTCATCTTATTTCATGAGGAAACTTAAAAGACATACTCATGTAATAGTACATATGTTAGCTATAATCACTACTATTGATTATAAATTTATAGGAACAAATGACACTTGTGTAATATTAGTTAACATCTCAAGGTATTCCTCAATTGCAAAGGCATAATAACTAGAAGCCTGTAAATGAGGTCCAGTGACAAGTTAAATAGATTCAAGCTATTTTAGGGATTTCAATATTACAAAAAATAATCTCAAGAGACGAATAAATAACAAAAAACAGAGTGGTCATCAGGCAAAATATAAAAAGGTGCACAAATCCAAACTTGCATTGGAGCAGTGTGATGGGTGACCACAGTGCATTGCATTAATTTTAAGTCATTTTTAATATTCTTATGATATTGTTCATATGCTCAAAATGATTACATACAAGTTATCAGATGCACCTCTAAAATTTTAGAGCCTTAGAATCTTCTTTTAGAGCAATGTAGTCCATGAAATACTTTTGCTTTTGTATGTCAGTGTTCTCTATTTTGTAATATCAAACATGATTTCAATTAACAAAGTTAAGCATTTACTAGAAAAACTACATATAAAAATGAGACAAAACCTCATAGTGTTAAATTTAAAAATTGATAAAAGATCACATTTAAAAATGTGTTCCTTCTTGCTTCTTACACTATTGTGCCATAATATAAGTATAGCAAGGTCCTAAATTTCTCCCCACTTACACTTCCTTCTAAAGGAAATCAGGACTCCTTCATTGAATGGTTAATTTCAAGTATCAATTGGAAATGTTCTAATGTAGAAAAAAATGTGAAAGAAAAATTAATATCATTGATTGTTGCAATGTAAGAACATAATGTAGTATTTCTTCTTTGTATTTTATTGTAGAGCATGTGCACACACACACACACACACACACACACACACACACACAGCCCTTGTGGGAAAACAGTTATTTTTAAAATTTATAAATACTATTTAGCCACCTAAATTTTTCTGATTGTGTATATAAAACTGTATAAATTTGGTCAAGTTTCTTAACCTATTGAAATTCATTTTATTCCTTTATGAAAGAACAATAGTATTGATGTGATAGATTTATTATTTTGACTTATATAGATGTATTATGAAAATCACCTAGCGTAAGGCCTGCCTCAAAGTATAGTTAGTATCATTTATTACTACTAATCCCTTTACTACTTTCACATCTTTTTATCCTCTATCAATACTAATCATAATAAGCAGCAAAATGTCTATTATTAAGTAAATTCTGTAGGGGAAGAGATAATAGTTTTTGTTTTATTTTGTGGTCTATACTCTCAGTATACTGTAAAATTATGTTTATATGTTTCTTTGTTTTTAATGTTGCATTATTTCACAAAAATGTTTATGTTGTTTGGATGATTTCTTCGGATAAATTTTCTAGAATTAATGATTTTAATATTTTAAAGGTGAAACAGAAGAACATGTGCATTTAGAAAACTTCTCCAAGTTTCTATCACACATTGAACTTTGAATTCATGGTCACTAAGACTATTTTTGGATAAGCAATTACATTTTAACCTTACTCTGGAAACCTGAAAGGAAGTAACTCTAAACTGTAAAGAGAAAGCAAAAGGGTTTGGTTGTAGCATATCAGCTAAAAGCCCATTGTTACTGTAAGCCGAGGAAGATTATTCTCTGCATCTCTGACTGTAGAAACATAGAAGTTGCATCATGGGAAGAAAGTCACTGTACGTTCTGATTGTGGGGATCTTTGTAGCATATTACAATTACATGCCTATCCCAGATAAATTTGAGGAACCCTGGAGACTAATGCTGGTCAACACATCACTGAAAATTTTTCAAAATTTGGTAAGTCTGAAATTTATGAATTCTGATGTCCATATGCAGTCATATATATTCTGAAGAACTTTCTGGGATATTTGCCTTTTTGGATGTTTGATTGATCATAAAATAAGTCCCATGACTTTTGACTATTTGCTTTATTTCATAGGTTGAATACATGCATGTAAATATGAAATAAATTAGAGGTTGTTTAGTGGATTTCACTAAAGTATTACTGTGTCATGATGGTTGCTGTTCACTGACATTTTTGTCTTGAGGCTTCATTCATTATTATTCAATTTTTTACATAAGCCAGAGATTTTTCATCATGAGGAATGTATTAGATATAGACGTTTATGGAATATAATTTGGGATTCAGAGCACAGAAAATTACATGTAGGTAAAATTTCAAGGAAAAACAGCACTGTCAGAATGGTTGGCATTTGCCTTGATTTCTGGAAGGAGAAAGTAGATCAAAACAGAAATCTATACCCTAATGTTTCATAGAAACTGGCTGTTTGTTGGGGAAAACAAGCAAAGTTTCCTCTCTGGCACCTACAGTATATTTTGACATACTTCTTTCACTATTTCATTCATTTGAATTTTATAGTTCTCCTTTCAAAACTGACAAAATGGATGTTGTAATTCTTCTTATTTTTCATTATTTCAATTCTTCAAATCTCTGCCAAATCCTATTAAACAAACAGAATTTGTGTTCATAAAATATAAATTTTAATGTGAAGGAAAATAATAAATTAGAATTAAATGAATGGATGATTTCACATTATGAGAAGTGCATTCAAGGAGGTAAGACAGTCAGACAAGGAGTGTGATGAAGTAAAGAGGGCAGGGCTATTGTATTTATAATTAATGAATCACTTACGAATATGAGACTTAGGCTTAGAAAGCAGTGCATAAGAAGAAAACTGATAGATTCTGTCAAGCTGGGCTCATCTATCTCAACTTGACATTCACCCAGCTGGGTGTCTCTCCAAGAATAACTTCTGTGTTCTACTAGATCCAGAAAAAAAGCCCTTCCACTCCCCTTTGCATGTGCATCAAACCCTCTCCAATCCCAAGTAAAGCTGCTTCTGTTTTGCACATGTAGACACTCCTTCAAATCAGCTGTTACAATGTTATTTTGCCCACCTTCCAAACTCATACCCCAGTCAGACCTGATAAAAGTATTTCCACTTCTTTGTTCTCATGTGAAGTTGCTTTGCATCTCTTCTGCAGCCCTCTCACATCTACAATAAAGGCCTTTTTCTCTTTTCTTTGTCTCTCTGTTGCACCAGAATGTTATCGGATGGTGCTTTAACTTGAATAGGTGAGAAGTGCAACTTTTGGGGGCTACCCTGGGTTTAAGGTCCCCTCACCTATGAGCCTTTCCTCCTCTTCCCCTTCTGTCTCTGCTGTTGCTGTCACTAGCTTCCATCCACCACCAACCCACTTCAGTCCTTGTAGGTCCAAACAGAGGTTAGTTTTTTGACTATATATAGTTTTTATGGTCTTTTTGAGACAAGGTATCACTTTTCAGTTTAGGCTGGCCTTGAGCTCATTTTGTAACCTAGGCTGGTCTTGAGCTTGCAATGATTCTCCTGCCTTCAGCCTTCAGATTTCTTGGATTACAGGCATGTGCCACTATTCCCGGCTTTTATATTGTTGTTCCAATTTGTTCATCTTATTCATCTTCTTTCTCCCTTTCCTCAATAATCTCTCTTGATTTTATGATATTTTCATTTGATTTAACAGTCTTTCTGGTTATTTGTGATAATCCTTTGTTTACTCTTTCATTCTTTGTCTTCTGAACTCTTCTCTAGATACCCCAAACTTGAGTGATACCATTTTTGTTCCCCAGCCTTGCTTCTACTCTTTCTCTCACTCTCTCTCTCTCTCTCTCTCTCTCTCTCTCTCTCTCTCTCTCTCTCTCTCTGATGTTGCAGATTGAACTCACAACTTCATGCTTGCTAGGCAGGTGCTTATGCCACTGGGCTGAGTCTGCCGCCCATTTATCTCTCTTTTATCTGCTGTCTTACTTAAATTTTCCCATCACAGGATAAAATTACTCTACCAAAGGGAACTAGTTTACATACAAACTTCCAATTAATGTTCTTTTGTTACACAACTGTAGATCTTGTTCAGATGGCTAAGGATATTAAATTAATAGCTACCACAGTTTGTAACTTTCTAAAATATGGTTGATGCTATTGTTACTACTAATTTTACTACTTCAGTTAAGAAGTCATATGTGTTGTAATCAATTGTTCTCCCTTTATAACAACACTGGGAAGTTATGGTGTGATAAGCATCACCACAGTCCAGTACCAAAACACTGAGAGTTAAGTCAAGTAGAGACTAATATCAGTATGTTACTCTTAATAAATTAGGAAAGAGGATCCTGGGACAAATACAAAAATCTAAGAACTTCCTATATCTAAAAGACATTTTTGATGAACAGATATTTCCTAGGGAGGCCTTGATACTAGTGATAAAACAATCTAATATACAACCTTATAAAAATCAGAAAATTTGAAAACAATTTAAAATATAGGATATGACAAGCTGGAAGTCCAAAATCCAACCACAGATCTCTAGTTTAGCCAGAATGAGTTCAGGGCCAGTGAAAGAGAGGACAATGGATGTCACACACATGAACTTCTGAAATGATAGAAACAAAAGTAAAGAAACAAATCCATGAGGCTATAGAGAAAATCAGATAAAAATAACTTCAGGTAATAGAAGAAATAAGGGCAATAATGAAGGACTTGCTCAGCAAATCTAGAGTAGACAGAGATTTAAGAACTGCAGAAGCATAGAAAATGATGCAATCCATGAATGCCAAACATAGAAGACAAATGGAATGCATGGAACAGTTTCAAACAAATTTCCAGGAAATGAAAAAGCTTGCAAAACTACATAAATGAAAGTGAAGAGATAATATCAGACTTAGAAGACATGTGATAGGTAGTGATCTTGAGGAAAAAAGATCTCTTAAAAATAACGAAGTGCTTGGATAAAACAATTCAACAGGTAAATGGTTTTTCAAAGAACTAGATAAGATTTATTGAAATCAGTGGAAAAAGCTGATGTTAGCACAAATGTCAAAAAGACTTTATAGAAGTAACGGAAGGAAGTTTTCCAAATGTAGAAAAATAATTTGAGAGGCTGGGGATTTAGCTCAGCGGCATGCAGGCAGTTGTGTGTTCGATCCCTGGTACCGGTAAAAAGGGAAAAGACAAAAAAAAAAAAAAAAAAAAAAAAAAGAATTTGACATATAGCTAAATAAAGCATATGGAAATACATTTAGCTATGACAAAAACAAATCTACATCCAGTCATATAATAATCAAGATCCAAAAAATTCAACACAAGAACAGAATACTGGAAGCTGTTACGGAAAAGAAGCAAAACACTTGTTAGAGAAAGTTCACCAGAAAAAAACAGACTGCTCAGCACAAATGCTCAAGTCAGTGAGGGTATGGAATGAAGTATTTCAAGTTATGAGAGAAAGAAACTTCCAACTCAGATTAATGTACCCTGCAAAACCATCTTTCAAAATTAATAGAGAAGATACTTCCATGACAAAGAACAACTGAAGAAATTATGATCACCAATCAATTCTAGAAGTGTAATGAATGATTTTCTAGAAATACATAAAAAAACTACAATTTCATGAACCCAAATAGAATGTAACTACCAACAGAAAGCAAAGAAGCAATAAAACAGAGGAGAAAGACGTGTACCTACAGTAAGAAAACGATATGGCAAGGATAAGACAAAAATGCCAGTTGTATCAATCAATATTAATAGACACAATTTAACCAATCAGAGAAACAGGCTGGCAGAATAGATCAAGAAACAAGATCCAACAATATGCTGTATATAAGAAATGCATTTAACAGAAAGATAAATTTATAGACTGAAAATCAAAGGATGGAAAATTATATTATGCATAACAGGAAGCCAGGAGAAACTGAGGGTGGTGTTTCTATATGATAGGATTATTTCCAAAAGATGTAAAGTATAAAACAAGAGGCCTTTATTCTGAGAACACGAGAGAGATGACTGACACCCCACCCCCACCCCCCAGCCTCTGAAGTCTGGGGATCTCTCCTGTGAACACATGGCATGGGGGCGATATAAGTAGCCTAAGCTTAGGGTAGTGCCTTAGGGCCATTAGAGATGCACAGGTATTTCATTGGCACACGTTTGGTGCCAGCGGCAGATTCTGAAGGGTGGGGGGAGATAGAGTTACAGGTAAATCTGTAGGGGCGGCAGAGACAGGAGCTCCCTGATTCCGGCTGAGGTCTTTTCTGGCTACAGTGTCCCATCTGGGCCAAAACCCTTTCACTATACAGAGACAAAGTGAACATCAAATTTAAAATGACCAATACCAATAAAGAAAGTCATTACAAACTTCTTAAAAGAAAACTTTAAGAAAAAGAGATAACATAATATATGTATATACACCAGATACAGGAGCACTTAAATATATACAGCAAATATTAATAGGCATGGAAAATCAAATAAACACTAACACAATTGTAATAGAGGTCCTTAATATTCCACTGTCACAAATAGATAAACTAGACAAAAAATCAGCAATATATATATAGGATCTGAACCAAACTTGTCAACAAATGGACTTAAGATGTTGGTGTTCTACAAAACAACATGAGAATACATATTTTTCTCAGCTGTGCGTGTGACTTTCTAAAATAGACCACATGCTGGTCCATAGAATATGCTTAAGTAAATGCAAAAGAATTGAAATTATCATATGAATCTGATCATAGTGCAATGAAACTGGAACTCAATTGCAAAAGAAACCACAAAATCTCTATGAACAAATGAAATTAAAAAATCTTCTACTGAGCAAATAATGGGTCACAGATGGAATTAAAGAAGTTAAATTAAAATCTATAAGTAAAGGAAATTGGCAATAAAAATACCCAAACTTATGTAACATGATAAGAGCACTCCTAAAATTTATAGCAGAAATTTATAAAGATGAATTCTCATATCAGAAAACCAGAGTGAGATCAAATAAAAAACTTAGTCCTGCATTATAAGCTTTCAGAAAAAGAAGTCAAGCCAAAAGCCTGTATGAGGGAACAACATATAAAAATCAGATCAGAAATTAATGTAGTTGAGGCTAAGAAAATAGTACACAGAGCAATGAATCAAAATTCACTGAAAGATCAAATAAAATTTTAAAATCTAAATCAACTATATTAAAAATCAAAGAAAGAAAAGATACAAATTCCTGCAATTAGGAATCAAAAGGGTAAAATCACTATGGATCCTGTGGAAAGAAGATTATCAAAACGTACTTTAAGAATCTTATTTTAATAAGACACAAAGTACAGAAGAAGTGGGCAATTTAGGTATATGGTCTTTATCTCAATGTGATAAAAGCCATCAATGAAAAATTAACAGTCAACATCATACTAAACTGTCAAAAAATGAAAGCTTTTACTCAAAATCAAGAACTAGAGAAGGATGTCCACTATTGTTATTCCTACTTACTACAGTTCTAAAAACATTAGTCAGAGCAGTTAGACAAGAGAAAGTAATAAAGACAAGAAAGGAAGAAGTCAATTATCATTATCTTTGATAAAGATGCCAAATATTTTCACTGGAAGAAATATGGCCTATTTAAGAAATGGTGCTGGAAAAATGGGCTTTCCACATAGCAAAGAGTAAAACTGGGTCCATGTCTATCAGCATGCAACAAAATATAATCAAAATCAATCAACTCTAAATATTAATACAGAAACACTAAATCTGTTGAAAAAGTGAATAGGTAGAACACTAGGTCCTGACCTAGATCCCTGATCTCCCAAAGGAGTACATGGTGGAGGTTAAATAAAAAGACAAATTGTATGATTTTTTAGGACTCCAGGAGGGAAAAAACCCTTTAATTAAGATCACAATTCCGAGGGCTAAGATAAAAAATTTTCTGGATCTGTCCACTTTTATTACAACCAAGGACAAAAGAAGGAGAAACCAAGGAAAGTGCAGGCAATGAGCAGGACCTTGGAAATCACTTTGAAGATGTTTCCAAGTAATGAATCAAGTCAATTCAGTAGCACTGTTTTATGAATACATGGTAGAAGTGAGACTGTATGATTAATTTCTGCAGTCTCTATCTTGTTAATTGGGATTGGAGCCAAGTGTCTGCAGCCATGGCTTTATCCTGCCCTTTGAGGTATCTCCGGCCTCACAGGCCATTATAGGTTTCAGCCAGGACCAGTGATTCATACAGGTTCACTAGCTATGAATCATCTCCCATTACCAGGCAAGGGGCCTCGGCCTAGGACAGACTCACAGATAAATATAGAAATCCAGTTAGTAAAATTTAAATTCTGCTCAGAGCCACTTCGTAGTGGTCTCCAACATCTCCTCCCTTTGGTTTTTGTAACAACAGTTGGATCAGGGTGAGGCATGGTTGCATGTTGTTTAGGAATCAGCTCGTCATGGCTCTTCTTTGACAGACTATGAATAGAATAAAGAGAAACACACAGATTACTCCAAGTATACCGACAAAAAGTCACAAGTATTCCTTCAGATAGTTGAATGGATTTAATTGATCTAAAGCATCAGAAAATTTACCCCAATCTTGATTTTGTTTATCAAATTTTTGGGTTTGTTGGAACATTGACAATACCTCCTTCTGGAGTACATCAATATCCATAGTAACATTTTGATGGATAGCTCCTTGTATGTTTCTTTATATTGTCCCAAAGATGCATAGATTCGTTATAAGGCAAGGGAGTTATGTAAAATGAGTGGCCTTGTAATGGGACAATTGAGGAAGTCAAGTATAGTTTATGATAAATTTCAGATGGAGAATGTGCCCAAGTAATGGATCTAAGTAGGGTTTATCAGAGACATAAGACCATTACTCCACTTCAGAGATAGGTGTCATTTATACAGATACTGCCAGCAAAGCCATTAAGCCAATCAAGAAATTTTCAAGGGGTAGTGGAATTCCCTTTCTGGCAACTATATCTCTAAACTCACAAATCATTGCTTGAATGTCGTTTCACTGGATCACTTGTCTTTTTTCCTGGTCTCTTAAGGGAGGATGGAGGTTGATTTTCTGGCTGATTGGCAGGTCTACCAGGGCCCAGGTTGGTGGAGCCATCACCTAAGGCTGTCCTCAGCATTTGTTGTGTCTCTCACCAAGGCTGTATATTTCTCATGGATCTTTCAACTGTTAAGACATAAGCATAACCTCGTTTCCACATTATTAGCTGTATTGCTCTTTTAAAGTTTAAATTAAGCCTGGAAAAGGCAAAACTTGTTCTATCTGTAGGAAAAATAAGAATGTTAAAGCAGTGATTTAAATTAATTACAACGAGAGGACAGTCTCTAGGAACGGCAGTTGGACCTGGAAGTTCTGGCTGCAGCACTCCCTTAGGAAGTAAGCAGACATTTACAGCTCTTAAATCCTAATAGCAACTTCCATTTGTCTGATTTCTTTGTAATAACAAAGACAGGAGTATTCCAAGGGCTAACTAAGCTTTCTAAATGGCCTTGCTGTAATTGCTCTTCAACTAATTTGTGTAATTCAGTTAGCTTCTCCTTTTTAAGGGGCCATTGATCTACCCAAACAGGCTCCTTAGTTTTCCATTGTAAAGGCAGAGCTATTTTGAGAGGCAAAGCATCAATGGCCCTTGTAAAAACAAAACCAAAAACCAAAAAAAAAAAAAAAAAAAAAAAAAACCTGTTGATATTCAATACCTTGCCTGTCATCTTTAGGTGTAATCTGAACAAGCTCTTTGATTCCTTGTAAATTTTTTCCTAGTCTTTTGCCTTTCTGATATCCTATTTTAATCATCATTTTGTTAATTTTAGGATTTGAGTCTGTTTGTCCAGTTTCCAAATTGGAACATTTTTGCTCAGCTTTAAAATCAGAATTGCTAGTCAGCACTAATTTCCACTTTTGTAACAAATCTCTTCCCAACAAGTTAACTGGAATGGGTGCCACATAGGGTAAAAAGAAACCTTCTGATTGGTCTGGTCCCTCATAAGGCAAAGGTGAGGCACCCTGTTCCACACATGTGCTGAGGGCCCCCGCCCCAATCTTATAAGGGTGGTAGGGGCCCTTTGTATCAGTGACATGGCAGGCCATGGTTCTAATGCAATTATAGACACATCTGCACTGGTGTTATTCAGACCTTCAAAGAATTTCCCATTAATTTTTATAAAACACGTAGGCCTGTTTTTAGTCACTTCCTGTGTGAAATAAATTTCTCTCTTTGTAGTCTTGCTCTGAGGGCCTTCTTCCCTCTTCAGCTGTCTATACTTAACAAAAGAAGGCTTCTCTATAGGTAATGAAATCAACCGCACCGTGTGGTCTCCCTGTTCAAAAACCCAGATGTCAGTAACACATGCAAGAACTTGTATTTCATCTCTATAATTACCATCAATCACAGTAGGCACAAGTTACTCCTTTTAAACTTAGATCAACCTTTCTCAACTGTTCCTTCAGGTGAGGGACCCCAAATTCTGTGGGAACTGAGGTGGGCTGTCATCTCCAATAAGAGTGACTCTGCAAGTGGCAGGAAGGTCTCATCCTGCATTTAGTTTAAGATTTTTTAGCAGTTGTATTTAAAAAGGCTTATGTATAAAATACTCCTAATCATTGGTGTCTGTTTCAGTTCCAAATGGGAAGCAAGCAAGGAGGGTGTTTTTGCTCCCTTTGCAATTGCCTCTTCCTACACGACCTGTGTGTTTCTGGACAGAGCTTTATGAGATATATTTTTTAAAGGCTCTGGCCCTTGGTGAGGTAAGCCCTGTAGGGATTTTCCTTTGGTGGAAGATGCCTCAACAGGGAGCTTTCTTCTCTCTGTGTAGGAATGTGAGTTCTGTAAGGGACTTAAAACTGAATGGACCATATTCCAAGTGGAGAAAGTCTCAGGGGAAATGATTTGTCCTGCCCTGTGTGTCTTTTTAATATTTTCTCCAACTCTTTCTCAGATATCAATCTCTATAGTGCCTGTTTGAGGAAACCATGGATTATATTTGGTTACATCTCTTAACATTTTTTGTTAAGTCTTTCTTTGTCACAGGAGCCCCTGAACTTTTAAGCAGGCTTTGGAGCAGTTGTAAATATCTTTACTCCTCAGCTGAAATCTTTTGCCCCACATTTTATTCCCAGATAAAAGGGCTTCTCACAGCTGAAAGACTCACCCCTTTTCTTCCCTTTCTTCTCTCCAGGTGTTCCTGATGAAGTTTTCGTCTTGTGAAGGCATCCTCCACAGCCAAACTTTCCACTCTAGGTGGACTTGCTCCTTTAGGCTATAAATTCCCACAAAGATTTTAAGATCCTGGTCTAAACACCAGTTTATTGGGTCCTGACCTAGATCCCGGATCTCCCAAAGGAGTGTATGACAGAGGTTAAATAAAAAGAGACAAAATATATGATTTTTAGGGCTCCAGGAGGGTCAAAGCACTTTAAGTAAGCTCAAGACTCCGAGGGCTAAGACAAAAAATTTTCTGGATCAGTCCGCTTTTATTACGACCAAGGACAAAAGATGGAGAAACTGAGGAAAGTGCAGGCAATGAGCAGAACCTTGGAATTCACTTCAAAGATGTCTCCAAGTAATGAATCAAGTCAATTCAGTAGCACTGTCTTATCATGAATACACGGTAGAAGTGAGACTGTAGGAGTAATTTCTGCATCTGCAGTCTCTTATCTTGTTAATTGGGGTAGGAGCCAAGTGTCTGCAGCTGTGGCTTTATCTTGCCCTTTGAGGTGTCTCTGGCCTCACAGGCTATTACTGACCTCAGCCAGGACCAACGATTCATAGAGGTTCACTTACTATGAATCATCTCCCATTGCCAGGCAAGGAGCCTAGGCCTAGACTCACAGATAAACATAGAAAGCCAATTAGTAAAATTTAAATCTTGCTCACAGCCACTTCGTAGTGGTCTTCAACAGTAGAACACTTGAAGACATTGATGTAGGCAAGAACTTCATAAAGAAAACCTAGTTTTCATGGAAAGAACTACAAATGACTGGAACCTCATCTTATTAAAAAGCTTTAGAACAACAAAAGAAATCACCAACAAAGTGAACAGACAACTCACAGAGATGGAAAAATTTTAATGAGTTTCTCCTAAAAGAATTAATATCTAGAACATATGAAGAACTGAAAAAATTCAGATCCTCAAAATTGAAAGACACAGTTAAAAAACGGCATCTGAGAGGAACAAACATTTCTCAGATGAAGTAGTATAAATGGCAAATAAATATATGAAAAAATTCAACATCACTTGTCATTTGAGAGATGCAAATTAAAACAACAGTGAGATTCCATCTTACTCCAGAAAGAAGGGACATTATCAAAAAATCAACCAATAACAAATTCTGGCAAGAATGTGAGGAAAAGGGAATATTTCACCACAGTTGATGGGAGTGTAGACTAGGTCAACCAGAATGGAAATCACTATGGTGATTCCTCAAAATATGATGACTGAAGGTATCATTTGATCCAGTTATTCTCTTTATGGTATCTTCCCAAAAGAATTTAAAGCATCATATCACAGTGATGTATGTGTACCTATGTTTATAGTGGCACAGTTTGTAATAGCTACATCTTTGAATCAACCCAAATGCCCATAAACAAATGAATAGATAAAAAAAGATGTGATTTTTTAACATATGAAGTTCCATTCAGTCATAAAGAAAGATAAACTTCAGATATTTATTGCTAAATGAATGGATCTTGAGACCCTACTCTTAACTGAAATAAATAGGACACACAATGTCAATATTGTTTTGTTCTCATGTGAGAAACTAAAAGCATAAATAATCATATTATAGAATAACAATTGTGAAATAAGAAATTATTCAAAAGGAAAGGGTTAGTAGGGAGGCAGAGGGGTTGGGAAAAAATTTTGAAAAAAGAGAAAAGAAGATAAAATGGAAAACAAACTTTGCAAATAAGGTGGGGGAGAGGGTTTGAAAAGAGAGGAAGACATTTGGAGGGGAAATAAGGTAGATCAGGGTATGTCACATAAAGGTACAAATTCCCTGTGATGAATGTGAACACTCTCTTTATATATCAATTGTACCATAAACAATAAATATACGAAACAAACACTCTAAACACTGGACACATTTTTCAACAGATATAACAACAAGCATATAATTCTTAACTACAGAATACTGACAACTTGAAGTAACTGTATTAAACATTTGTGTTTGAAGGGAGAGTGCTACAATTCAGTGTGAGGAGTAAAATGCTATAGACTACAGTGCTTTGTGCTGAATGGCAGGAAGTCTTAATTTTATTCTATGCCTATGAGAGTTAAGAAGTAGTTTTATTTTCCTCAGTTTTCACTATATTTATGCAGTGCTCTTACCAATATTTGTTCTTCGAGTCTATTAATTATATTTTATTATTCATTTAATCAAACATATATCTTCTTTTTGAGCTTTTCTTACCTGTGATAATCTTCTTAACTTTCACTTCTTAATGACTTATGAATATACTATCTGAGCTCACAAATGATAGAAATTTAAAGTGTATTTTAGTATAATTCTTCACCCCTGAATGATCTTTTTTTGTTTACTGCAATATCCTTGATTTATCTGGGATCTCATGAAGGATTTACATGGCTTCTCAGATTCTGTCAGTCACTGAGAATCTAGTGAGATATTTTATTGAAGACTTATATGATGAGATACATTTACATCTGTGCTATGAATGAAGCATGTTATGCTTTGCAATTATACTATAACTGAATATCGTAGTTGCAGAATTAAGACAAGTGGATTTGTAATATCAGTTCCAAGATGTGCATGTTTGGACTGATTTTAATATTCAGTTTCTGTGGGTTTATGTTCTACTTCTCTCAAACCAGTCTGCGAATATTATGCCTTCGGCTCAGAACTTGAATTATATTACTGAAGCTAGTGCTCATAAAATGCTTGTTCCACAATCTTATTCTAATGCAGAAACACAAGGCTTCAGGCAAGCAGGTTGCTCTTCCTGTTTCTCCAGTCATTTCTTTAGCCTCAGCTTGACGTACATCAGCATTATTTTATAATATATTTATTTTTGTAATATTTTATTGATGCATAGTCACTAAATATAATCATTTGCATTCATTTTGAGTAACTGGTGTGTATAGATATCATATCTTAATCAATTTTATTTTCCTTTCCTATCTTGGTTCTTATTCTGTCATCTCCCAATCTCCTTCTCTAAAACATAAAACCTAAAACCTTTTTCCCCACAATCAAGAGTCCTCTCTACTCCAGTGTATACTAGTTCTTCTTCCAGGAATGGTTTTTTTTTTCCCCTTCTTTTATTCAATTACATTATTAAGAAAAAATTTTTTTCTTCAAGGGTCACATTACAATGACTTGGGTCAAACCTGGTTCAGAGGTCTCTATCATAGCATTTACTTAATTTTATAACTGTGGACTTACCTACCTTTCACCTATAATTCTGCGGTTCTTGAGAAGTATCTTTCTCTTGTTCTTATTCACAACCCTAAAGCTTAGAAAATAATCTGAAATATTTTGGGGAATAGTTACTTTTTGGGGAATAATTACTTTTCCTCCTTTTTAACAACTACTGTAGGCATAATTACTGCATTCCTTTTTCTTCTAAAAGGATAAAGGTGATTCATATGTAAGCATTTTAATTTTAATTGATCTAGTTAAGTGTTACACATTTATATTTGCATAAATTTCTTTGAATTTAGAATTTGAATTCTAAGACCATTTATAAATTTTGTTTTGAGGCTTTATTCTTCGAGTTTCTGGGATTTTTACCATTTTGCTGAGTTACTTGCACTAGCTTTAACCTTTGGAGAAGTCCCACCAACTTCAGATGAAAATGTCACTGTGACTGAGACAACGTTTGATAATGTTCCTGTGTGTGTATATGTACCGAAGAGAAAAGTGGATGCGCAAAGAAGAGCTGTGTTTTATATTCATGGTGGTTCTTGGTGTTCTGGAAGCCCTGGTAGGTGAATTTTTTGAAAGACATCTGACCCTGGAGTACTTTGCAAAAGTATTACTAAGGCCACATACTGTGATGTTTAACAAGGTCACTGCAGTGTTTTTGTCATCTCTTACTTTGATCCCTGGCAAGTTTTAATGTGCTTTGCACCTTCAGCATTTAATAGTGCTTTGCACTATTTCTCATCCATGTATGATTTCCTTCATTAGGCCAAGTAATGCTAAGAAATCACAGGTCTTCCTATTACTGAGTTCTTTATGAACACATAGGCACTTTTTAGTCATTTGGTTTTATAGACCTTAGTAACATGTTAATTAATTTATTTATATACTCACTGTGTGCCTACATTTATTCCAGGAATATAGTAAGGATCTTGGAACAGACAAAATTCTTTCTTGGCCTTAAATTCTAATGAAAGGAATGTCTAAATAATGGATACATTACTTAGATGTGGATGGGTGGAAAAATTTGACCAAAAGAATGCATAGTCTTCCTCTTAGACAGGAATAAAGAGAGAGAGACAAACCAGATCTCAGCAGGACAGATACAACAGAAAATGAGAGAATTCCAGCTTTTTAAGGCAGCACCTTTTTATCCAGCTTATTTTCAGGTGATTTTTTTCCCATTCAGATAATGATGGTTCAATATGATTCAAAATCTGTTTGGGTCACATAGGTTACATATCTACACACAGATGAATCAAATTAGTGGCCTATCTTTTTTTAAAATCTGTGTGTATACATCATGTAAAACAAACAAATCAATATTGTCAGTGTAATGGGAGCTGGGATCAGTCTTCTGGAGAATGCTGCTGGCTAAGACGGACAAACGACAAAATGTTCAAAGAAAGGAAAGAAGAGCAATTAGAGAGTTCAGTGAGAAATCCAACTAGTTACAAGTGGAAGTTTTCTTAGGATAAGTACAGTGTTAATTTTTCTTTCTGTAATTTTGGTGTACAATAGGTAGAGGATTTCCAGACTCTAAAAGAAGCACAGTCAATTTTTTGCTTAAAAATCCTTTCCTATGTGAATTCTCACTAATATCTGACTTTAATTCTTTCATTTAAGCTTTATATAGTTATGACTTACTCTCGAGATGGACTGCAGAGAGACTGGATGCTGTTGTCATATCAGTTGAGTAAGACCTATGTTTTATTTTGTGTCCAAATATCTTAACTGTCAAAGTTCCCTCTACTGTCTTGAATGGCTGATGAATGATTTGTCAAATACAAATATTTCTCAGTTGACATTAAGGTAATTAAAAGAAGAGGTTAGGTCTACCCTAAGTGGCACTGAGAAAAATAAAGTGTGTGTGTATGCATGTGTGCGCGTGTGTGCGTGTGTGTGTGCCTATGAGTAGGCTGATGTGTATTATTTGAGTAGGCAGGAAAAAGAGACCATAAACACATTTGTTTACATAAGCTTAAATTGGATTATCATTGTACATACCTACTTGGTATAGATTACTTTTCAATATCATTTTTAAGGTTAAAGTTATTGGAGTCAGAAGATTATCTAAAAACCACAACATAAATTATTGATACATTACATGGTCACTTTAAAAACTAAGTGATAATACTCTTGAAATTGATTTATCTTAGTGTCTAGCCCTTGGTGATCTAAAACATTAAATTTTATTCACACATTGAACAAAGTCAGTGTAAAGTAATGTTTTAAATCAATAATCTATATTTGAAACATAATTATGTATAATATTTGCTTGAAATTTTCAGCAAATGAAGTAATTAAAATGAAATGTTTTTAAAAATTAGAAGAATCTATAGTTGCATTATGATTTGTATTTCAACTTTAAACAGTTTAATTGTAATACAACAAATGAAACTGTAAGACATACATTTATAATTGATTCATTGAAATAACTAACAGATTTCAATATGGTTAAAGGAAAAAATTTAAAGTTTTGTGAAATTTCATGCCTTTCCTTTGAATATACACTATTTTATCTATGTTAAAGATAAATGAGAAGTCTTAGTGCAAAATGGATAGTTTTGTTATAATTAACATGAGAAATATGCACAGGAAATATTGCTAAACATCAAAAGTCATTAGGAGAATGAAAACCAAAACTACATCACATCTCCTAAAATAACTGCAATTTAAAGAATAACTACAATTTATGACTAGAATAAGAAAAAAATAAATCCCAACCCCCATGTCACTGGTGGGAATGTAAAATGGCTTAGACACTTTGGAGAACTGCAGATGGCTCATTATTTCCAGTCCTATGTGCTTATGCATGGCCAATTAAACTTTATCCATAAAAATATTTTATATTTGTAGCAGCATTATTCATAAAATCTCTGCAGTAGAGACAACTTAATGTCTGTCAACAGATGCATGGAAAACTAAAATGGCATAAATCCACACAATAGAATGTTGCTTGTTACTAAAAGAAACACTATCCCTGAAACATGTATAAATCTTCAAAATGCTATTTTATATGAAGGAAGCCAGTCTCAAAGGGCAACACATGGTATAGTTTCATTTTTATGAAATGTCTAGGATAGGTAAATCTGCAGAAACAGATTAATGGATAGATTAGGATGGTAATTGATGAAACAGAAAGTAATAAATACCTGCCAAGGGGTAGAGTGCTGTTATTTTGGTTATCACTCTTCTTGAGTGGTATAAATGTTCTCAGACTAATTGCGGTAATCATTGGAAAACTTTTAAATATATTATAATCTCCTGAATTATATTCCTCAAGTAATTTTTATGGCATATAAATTATACCTTGATAAAGTGCTTATATTAAAATTAAGGCTTAATGTTAACTAGGAAATTTAGTGTAGAAATATCTGTGTATATATGTATAAATACAAAAATATAAATATATTTTACTTATTCAAAATTTAGAAACCCCTATGTATTATTGAAGTAGAGGAGAAAGACTTTACAGAACAGAATATTCAAATAGTAAACACACACACACACACACACACACACACACACACACACACACACACACATATATATTAACATTTAGTATGTACCAAGAAAATATAAATCAAATACTCTGTGCAGTACCTCTATACTTGATAATATGGCTAAAATGAAAAAGAACTAAAACATCAAATGTTGGTAAGAAAAGACACCAAGGGATTTTTATAAACTGGTAGTTAAAGAAAAACTAGATTTCAAAACTTTTTGACAACACTAAATAAAACTTCACATATAACACTGCTCACATCAGTGCCACAGGCAAATATCAACAGAAATATATATGTTTACCAAATGCTAGATAGCAGAACATTTTTAATAACAGTGATTTGTGGAAAGCCAAGATAGAAAGCAACCCAACTCACATGGCTTTTAAAAATTGCATTGTTTTACCTGTTACCTATTTATTATTGATTGATTGATTGGTTGTGGTAAGACCACAAAAGATCTACTTTCCAAATCAATTTTTAAATGCACACGTCATTGTTGATTTTATTACCATATTGTAAAGCAGATCTCTAGAGAGTATTCATTTTACTTGATTGAACCCACTAATTATTAATTCCCCATTTGTCCCTCTTAGTAGTTTTACTTTTTTGTTCTAGGAATTCAATAATTTTAGATAACTCATCTAACTGAAGTTATTCACCTTTTCAATGAGTGACAGAAGTATGCAGCAATGTGCATGAGGCTCAAATCTACAATGTTGAACAATCACATCCTAGGGTAGAGGTGTATGTGCCATTGAAGTTTATTTATTTTAAGGGCAAAAAATGCACAATATTAATTGATGCTGCTAAATTATGTTAGTGGATACTCCAAAACTTGAAGAGAATAGATTGAAGAGTGCTGTGTGCAGGCAAGGCTCATTTTCATGATTTGTGATTATGTGGCTGTGTTTAGTTCTAATTCAAAATGTGAATTTCTGACAGATATATTTAATTAATCTTTTTGGAAAATTGACATTTTTTTCTCTCCACAGCCACAGATTAGTACCTAAATATCATTTCCCAATCCAATTTGAAGATACATATAATGCTTTAAGGTGGTTCTTAAACAGAAATGTTCTTGAAAATTACGGTGTAAACCCTGAGAGAATCTGTGTTTCTGGAGACAGTTCAGGAGGGAATGTAGCTGCAGCAGTTACTCAGCAGGTAGAATTCTCATCATTGCTATATTTCAAAATTGTCTACTTGTAAACCAATAAAAACATAGATTAAAATATAAAAATGGCAATGTTTGACATATTAAAGAAAATATTACTAAGAAGACTAATATATCTAACTGTAAGTTTCTGCTCTTCTCACAATTTCTTTTACTTTCTTAAGAAAATAACAGAAATATGAATCACTGAGTTAAACTTTGCTATGTGTTAGTGAAACATATTAGTCAAATGAATGAAAACAGAAAATGACTTTTAACATTTTTGGATATTCAAATGTATTCAACAATCATCTGTGGAGTAGCACTCCATTACCAAAATAATCTGAATAGTTCAAGAAAAATATCAACACATTCAAAAATGCTATATTATTTCATGGAAAATTAGAAATTGGAAAACTTAAAGTGTTTTTAAATGTCTTCTTGACCAAAACATTTAGTCTCTCTAAGCATTCATTTCCTCATCTATACACAAAAGTAAACCATTTAAACTCACAAGTAGTTTTGAGGGCCATTTGTATATATTAAAAAAATCAGAACATGATATGATCTTTATGAATAATCTTCATGGAATATCTCACAAAGAAAGCCTTCCCAAATTTTGAGAACAGCATGTCACTTTGGGATCAAAGCAAAGTCAGAAATATTTCAGAAATGCTTTTTCTTCATGTCAAAATTTATACTAGTTATTTTCATATACTCACATAAAAGTAATAAATTTAAATTTACACTTATGTATGTCATTGATCTGTATGTCATTTTTAATTGACAAGTTAAGACATAAATTAATAATTATTACTTCAATCTTTTTTCTTTACCCTCAACGAATATAGTGTAGATGATTTTCCTTAAATCAAGCATATTCTTACAATAGAAGCATCTTGTTCTAGAATGTCCTTTAAGCACTTCAAATTTTGTTGAAATGAGGATATATTTTGTTTATTAAGTTTTTGAGATGCAAAATATATAATAGACTATCTTACTTCAGTTGGTTTAATTTTTCAAAGAAAATAATTTATGCACATCATCTTAACTCCTTTTTAGCTTGCAAGTGACCCAGAAGTCAAGACCAAACTCAAGATCCAGGCTTTAATTTATCCTGCACTTCAAACTCTTGATTTAGATTCACCATCATTTCGAGAAAATGCACATATGCCAATTCTGTCTAAGTCCCTCTTGGTCAGGTACTGGAGTGAATATTTTACAACGGACAGATCACTTGAAAAAGCCATGCTTTCCAATCAATATGTACCTGAAGAATCAAGTCATCTCTTCAAGTTTGTTAACTGGAGTTCCCTGCTCCCAGAGAGGTTTAGAAAAGGACATGTTTATAGCAACCCAACTTATGGTAGTTCTGAGTTATCTCAAAAATATCCTGGATTCCTGGATGTGAGGGCAGCTCCTCTGTTGGCAGATGACAGCGAGTTGCGTAGTTTACCCCTGACGTATGTCCTTACTTGTCAATATGACGTTTTGAGAGATGACGGACTCATGTATGTCACCCGACTTCGGAATGCTGGAGTTCAAGTGGCCCATAATCATGTCGAGGACGGATTCCATGCAGCAATTTCCTTTCTACATCTCAAAATTAGTCATAGACTGATACATCAGTATATTAGTTGGCTAAACATAAATCTATAGCAAATCATATATTCCTAATACATTTTTAAAATACAGTAAATGTGAAAGGATCATAAAATTCACATGGCATTAAATTGGTGTATTTTGGAAAGGTCTATTGAAGTTCCATATATAGTATAATAATTCTTGCTTAAATATCTTCTGTCCTTTTTGTTACTCAGAATGATTTCATTCAACATTTCTCATTGCAAATGTGCTATGCCTGCCAACCCTCCCTGTGTATTGTAAATTTAACTTTTTAAAACATTTTTTTCTTGTACAATATATCTTCTGTGTGTTGGTAATCACTCATAACTGTAAGAAGAGAAATATAAGAAAGATTGTATATCCATGTTATAAAAATATCTTAGTCAATGCACAGGGCTTGAAATACTCCTAGTAACTGATACAGGTTGAATCTCAAGTCTTTTTTTTTTTTTTTTAAGAGGAAAAAGAGAAAAACACAAAACAAAACAAAGCAGTGTAAGGTTACATATAATACAGAACTACAAAAAAAAGCATAACAGTAAGAAATCACCTGTTAATAGATTACATATTATCATCTTGGAAATAGTTGCTCAAATCACAGTATCAAAGAATACAAAGTAGACATTCAAACAGAGAGACTACAAACAGCTGTGTTCAATGATCCAAAAACATTAATATAGTCAGCTATTCAACATCCCTATACACACTTGCTGTTATATCCGTTAGAGCTCTTTTTTCCCCTTCCTCTCTTTTTACAACAAAATTTACACATTTTGGATTTTATTACTCCTTAGTTCTTATTACTTTTGGGGGGGGGAGAATAAAGTCAAATATGGCAGAACAAAGCTGTCAGTGAAAACCAAGGATAGACTTAGCACATGATGTAGAACAGAGTATACGGTTATTAACAATAGTTATCAACGTTGTCTCTTGTTTCCTTAAAAAGATTTGTCTATCTCATTAGATATTATAAAGTTGGACAAAACAGTAGAGAACAAGACCAATAAAACTTAGACATTGTAAACATTACAGGACTTCCAAAGGAGACAATAGTCAAACCAGAATGGGCATCTTAGTGAATCTTACTGCCTTCAAAGTAGTTGCCTATACCCTCGGACCTGATACTATCCCACAGAATGGAACAGAGTCTAATCAGTCAAAACAAGATCGTGGGAGCATTACAGGACTTCAAAACAAGTTAATAGAAAATCGAAAAGAGTTACTATTATATATCCTAATTTTTTAAATTTTTCCCTTAATTAAAATAAACATAAGAAATAACTAAATAATTTTTTTAAAGAATAATAGTTACCATAGTGTCTGTCTTTTTCCTTGAGATATTTGGATAAAACTTCATATACTATAGCTTCAAATATTTCCATATCAAGAAGCCCGGAATAAAGCCTTTCTAATTAATAAGTGAAAATTTTATAAGGCTTCAAGGCCACATAATGGGGAATCATGATTGCCACATATTTTCATATATTTGAATCATTACGTACATTAGGGAAACTATTCGGTATTCATACATGCGAGATTGATTTATTTCACTTATGAGTATGGTCTCAAGCTGCGCCCATTTATTGATAAATATCTCAATGTGATCCTTCTTTATAGCTGAATAATATTCCATTGTATAGAAATACCACAACTTTTTTATCCATTCCTCAGTTGATGGACACTTGGGTTGTTTCCAAGATCTGGCGATTACAAATTGTGCTGCTATAAACATAGGTGCACATAAATCACTGTGGTATGATGCTTTCAGTTCTTCTGGGAATATGCCTAGAAGTGGAATAGCTGGAGTAAATGGGATTTCCAATCCCAACTTTTTGAGAAACCTCCAGACAGACCTCCACAAAGGCTGTACCAGTCTACACTCCCACCAACAGTGCAGGAGAGTTCCTTTTTCCCCACATCCTCTCCAGCATTTGTTGTTGTTGGTTTTCTTGATCCTGGCCATTCTTTCAGGAGTGAGATGGAATCTCAGTGTGGTTTTAATTTGCATTTCTCTGATGACCAATGATGATGAGCATGTTTTCATATATTTATTTGCCATTTGCATTTCTTCATCTGAGAATTGCGTATTCATCTCAGATGCCCATTTTTGGATTGGATCTTTGAATTTTGGAGGTCTGAGTTTTTTTAATTCTTTATATGTTTTAGACAAGAGTCCCTTGTCTGAGAGAGAGTTCACTAAAATCTTTTCCCAGTTTGTGGGTTTTCTTTTCACTATGCTGGAGATTTCTTTTGACATGCAGAAACTTTTTAATAAGATGTGGTCCCAGTTATTGATTCTGGGAAGTGTTTCCCGTGCGGTTTGAGTCCTGTTCATGAATTCTCTACCTACTCCTATGTCTCCAAGGTTTCTACCCACTTTGTCTTCCAATAGATTTAGTGTTTCTGTTTTAATATTCAGATCTTTGACCCATTTAGATTTTAATTTAGTACATGGTGATAGACATGGGTCTAGCTTTAGTTTTTGGCAAATGGAGAGCCAGTTTTTCCAGCACCATTTATTAAAGAGACTGTCGTTCTTCCAGTGAACCTGCTTGGCTCCTTTATCAAAGATAAGGTGGTTGAGTGTGTTTGTAGTTGTGGTTGTATCTTCTAATCTATTCCATTGATCTTCACCTCTGTTTTGATTCCAATACCATGTTGATTTTACTACTGTTGCTTTGTAGTATAATTTCAAGTCAGGGATTGTGATGCCTCCTGCTTTGCCTTTGCTGCTTAGAATTGCCTTTGCGATTCTAGGTCTCTTCTGGTTCCAGATGAAATTTAGGAGTGATTTCTCTAGATCTATAAGGTATGTTGATGGTATTTCTATTGGGATTGCATTGAATCTGTATAAGAGTTTTGGGAGAATGGCCATCTTCACAATGTTTGTTCTTCCTATCCATGAGCAAGGGATGTCTTTCCATTTTCTGAGATCATCTTCAATTTCCTTTTTCAGTGTATTATAGTTTTCACTGTATAAGTCTTTCACTTCTTTCGTAAGAGTAATTCCTAAATATTTCATTTTTTTGCTTGCTAATGTGAATAGTCCAGTTTCTCTTATTTCCCTCTCTGTAATTTTGTTGTTCGTGTATAGGAATGCTATTGATTTCTGAGTATTGATTTTGTATCCAGCCACATTACTGAATTTATTTATTGTATCTAAGAGTATTTCAATGGAGTTTAGGGGGTCTTCTATGTAGAGTATCATGTCATCTGCAAACAATGATAACTTAACTTCTTCTTTTCCTATCTTTACCCCTTTTATTTCTCTTTCTTGCCTAATTGCTCTGGCTAGTACTTCCAGTACTATATTAAATAGGAGTGGTGATAAAGGACATCCTTGTCTTGTGCCTGATTTTAAAGTAAAGGCTTTCAATTTTTGGCCATTTAGAATGATGCTGGCTGTTGGTTTGTCATAAATGGCCTTTATTATATTGAGGTAAAGACCATCTATTCCAATTTTCTGTAGAGTTTTTATCATGAATAAATGTTGGACCTTATCGAAGGCTTTTTCTGCATCTATAGAAATGATCATGTGATTCTTATTTTTGGCTTTATTGATATGGTGGATTACATTTATTGATTTGCGTATGTTGAACCATCCTTGCATTCCTGGGATGAATCCCACTTGGTCATGGTGTATAATCTTCTTGATGATTTGCTGGATCCTATTTGCCAATATTTTATTGAGGATTTTTGCATCTGTGTTCATTAGGGAGATCGGTCTATAGTTCTCTTTTTTAGTTGGGTCTTTCTCAGGTTTTGGTACTAGAGTAATATTTGCTTCCAGGAATGACTTAGGAAGGATTGCTTCCCTTTCAATTTCATTGAACAGTTTGAGGAGTGTCGGCATTAGGTCTTCTTTGTATTTCTTGTAGAATTCTGCAGTGAATCCATCTGGGCCTGGCCTCTTCTTGGTGGGTAAGGACTTAATTACATTTTCAATTTCAGTAACAGAGATTGGGTTATTCAACAGTTTTACATCCTCTTGATCTAGCTTTGGCACTTCATATGCTTCTAAGAATCTGTCTATTTCTTCTGTGTTATCAAACTTTTGAGAGTAGAGGTTTTCGAAGTAGGTGTTGATGATCTTCTGTATTTCTATTGGGTCTGTAGTGATTTCTCCTTTTTCATTTCTTATTGCATGAATTTGAGCTTTTTCTTCTCTTTTTTTAATAAGGTTGGCTAGGGGCTTATTGATTTTATTTATTCTTTCAAAGAACCAACTCTTTGATTTGTTGATTCTTTGGATTGTTTTCTTAGTCTCTATTGCATTGATTTCTTCTCTGATTTTTATAATTTCCTCTCTTCTTTTGGCTTTGGGCTTGACTTGCTCTTCTTTTTCTAGCTGTTTGAGGTGTAGCATCAAGTTATTTATTTGTATTCGTTCTGTTTTCCTGATGTGGGAACTCAGTGCAATAAATGTTCCTCTCAGGACGGCTTTCATTGCATCCCACAGGTTCCGGTAAGTTGTATCTGTATTTTCATTTTCTTTTAGGTATTGTTTGATTTCTTCTTTAATTTCCTCTGTGACCCACTGATTACTCAAGAGTGTGTTATTCAGTTTCCATGTGTTTGTGGGATTTTTGCAGTATCTTTTATCATTAATTTCTAATTTCAGAGCGCTATGATCCGATAACATGCAAGGGATGATTTCAGCTCTTTTGCACTTGTTTAAATATGTTCTGTGAGCTAATATATGGTCTATTTTAGAAAATGATCCATGTACTGCTGAGAAGAATGTGTATTCTGATGTTGTTGGGTGGAACATCCTGTATATGTCTATCAAACCCATTTGTTCACAGGTATGATTCAGTTCTGTTATTTCTTTGCTCATTTTCTGTCTGGTTGATCTGTCCCTTGGTATCAATGGCGTATTAAGGTCTCCTGTTACAATTGTGTTACTGATAATTTGAGTTTTCATTTCTGTTAATAATTGTTTTATATAACTTGGTGCTCTGGAGTTTGGTGCGTATATATTTAAGATAGTTATCTCTTCCTCTTGGAGTTTTCCCCTTACAAGTATGTAGTGACCTTCTTTGTCCTTTATGGTCATTGTTGGTTTAAAGTTCACGTTGTCTGCAAACAGAATGGCTACTCCTGCCTTTTTCTGGATTCCTGCTGCATGAAGAATTGTTTTCCATCCTTTGACTTTCAGTCTGTGAGTATCCTTCTGGGTTAGATGGGTTTCCTGTAAACAGCATATGGTTGGATTTTGTTTCTTGATCCATTCTGCTAGTCTGTTTCTTTTGATTGGTGCATTGAGACCATTTACATTAATGGTTATTACTGTTAAATGCTGGTTAATTGTAGGAATGTTATCTCTCTGCTGTTGCATCTTTATCTTTCTGTTCTGTTTAATTATTTGCTTTGCTTAGTGGTTTTTTCCTTTGTGTATCTAAACTGTCTTTCAATATTTTTTGCAGGGTCGGTTTGGTGTTCATGAAGTTCTTCAGCTGTTCTTTGTCATGGAAGTATCGTATTGCACCATCTATTTTGAATGATAGTTTTGCAGGATATATCAGTCTTGGTTGGAAATCATTTTGCTTTAGGATCTGGAATATTTCACTCCATGCTCTTCTTGACTTTATCGTTTGTGCTGAGAAGTCTGCTGTGATTCTGATAGGTTTTCCTTTATAAGTGATCTGTCTTTTCTCTCTGACAGCTTTTAGTAATCTATTCTTGTGTTGGATTTCTGGGATGGTGATTATTATATGTCTGGGTGTAGTTTTATTTTGGTTATGAGTGTTTGGAGTTCTATATGCTTCACTGATCTTGATGTCAGTTTCTGATCTCATGCTTGGGAAATTTTCAGCTATTACTTCTCTAAATATCCGCTTGACATCCTTTATGTTGTCTCCCTCTCTTTCATTAATCCCTATCATTCTTATGTTATTCTTCTTTGCATCGTCTTGCAGTTGTTGAATTGTTGTTTCCTGATTCCTTGTTATTTTCAAAAGATCTTTCCTTTCCTGTTCACTAGCTGCAATCATGTCTTCAAGGTCTGAAATTCTATCTTCACTTTCATTAAGGCGGTTTTTACAACTTTCAGTGGAGTTTTTTATTTCCTGTATATCTCTGTGCATCTGCATTATGTATTCTGTTTGTTTCTTATATTGCTCGTCTAGGGATTCTATCTTTTTGTTTAGTTCCTCCAATTTTTTATCTGTGTTTTCTTTAGATATATTTAGAATCTCTTTCATTTCTTTTATCAGGGAGATTATTTCGAGTTTGAATTTCTTTAAAGCTTCCTGGAGTTGTTTGTCAACTTCAGTAGCTATTATGTCTGATATATGAGGTGGATGGGATATATTTTCTTCTATATACATTGCTCCTAGGGTTTCCTGAGATGGGCTGGAGGTTTGAGGTTGTAATTTGGTCTTTCGTTTTG